CGGCTCGCCCCGCGCGGCAGCGGCCCCGTTAGCGCAGGCGCCGGCCGGGGGCTCCTCGTGCTTGGGGAAGGAGGATGGCAGGCAGAACAATCCAGACCTGCATTGGGGCGAGAAGGACAGGGAGGGAAAGAAACAAGAGTCAGGCGCTTTGAAAGGTGCTTCGCTGGGAACCCAAAAGATCCCGCCATCCCACAGCCTCAGTACTGGGCACTCAACTCTTTCTCTGGACTCTTAAGATCAAGCAGCCAATTCTGCCACTGAAAAAAATAACAGCAGTGCAGAAATCTGGCAAGGTGTCCTACTCTTCTCCCAGAAAAGGCAGAGGGATAAAACCCCCTATTTCTATGAACTCTTTGCACCAAGTTTTGCTCTAAGAGGTTGTAAGTTTTATCCCACAAAGCAGTTTATTGCATCGCAGGCCAGCAAGGCTGGAGGGATGTGATCCAGGTTAGCCCTGGGAACTATGAAACTGCCCTTCCTCTCACTGCAGATGCATGGCTGATTTTCCAGTTTTTCATTCTAAACCTGAACACCTTGACTTGGGTGGGTAACTTGCATAGGTTCACCAAGACACAGCTCTGCTCCTCTTCCTCGGTCTCTCCATATTCAGCAGTTTTTGGTAACATAAGGCACCCACAGCTCCTCCAGAACAGCAGGGTTAACAGTGATGATACTCTGTCCTTCAATGCCAAGTCTCATTACAGGCCACCAAGGCTCGGACACAGTATCTTGCCTGCATATTGGCAAAAGCAAATCCTCTGAAATGCTGAAACTCACAACTGCAATTCATACCTCCAAAATGTATGAATTTATGCCCTTGGCCTGGCATTACAAATATAATGCTAACACAGCACTAGGACAGATTCTGCCCTGAAACACTGGCTCTGACTGGGCAATGCTCCCTGCCTTGGCTTTCCAGAGACACTTCTGCAGAGAACACACCAGCAGTGAAGCACGTGGGCCTTCTTAATAATAACGAAACTGTACAGGACAGCCACAAAGAAGAGACAAAGGAATGGAGAACAGGTACAGACCAAATACCAGTGGGTTTTGGATGCTAGGTTCCCATTCCCCTCCTTGCCAGCTACTGCTTTCTTTCCAAGCACCAGAAGGAAGGACCCTTCCTGAGGCAAGGGAGGAGTGTCTCAGTGGTGTCACAGAGGGGGACACTTTGCTAAGCATTAGCAGAGAGCACTGAAGAGGAGCTGAAGGCATCCACTCTGTGCCACACCTCTCACCAAGAGCAGCACAAAGCCACTGCCGTGGGTTTCCTGACAGAGAGAAGCCTCCAAAGTCCTTCCCCATTACTGAAAAAGTGCGACAACCTGCTGTTAAATGAGTTTAACTGGGAAAGGATTGATTAAGCTGTTGAAATCACGTAATTTGGAACAAAATATTTTTGTTTCAAGACGCTTTTTTTAAACAGAGACAACCAAGAATGTAGGTGTCTTTAAATGACAGCCCAGCAAGCCAGTACAGTCTGTACAGCCAGACAGAGATGTCAGCACCATTCACACTCCAAAGTGAGACCATTTCTGAATGAAATGATGGCTACAAATTATGGTTATTTTATGCAGTGGGACAGCATGGCTTGGTCACAACAGAAAACTGCTCCTCATGTAGACACAAGCCCACTCCCCCTGTTCAGGTCACTGAACCCTCCAGAGTGGCACGGAGCTCCCTGCCTGGCAGAAGTGGAGCACCCAAAGGTTCACTCACAGGATGGTTTGTGCCTGCAGCATTAATGTACCAGCACCCTGTAACCCCACGGGGCTGGACACAGCCTCTGTGCCACAGAACGTGCCCACAGAGCCCAGGCCACTGCCCTCCCTGGCTGTCAGCCTGTGCCAGGCACCAGCTCAGCAGGGAGCCCTGTTAGAAAGATGGGGACAAACTTGGATAGGACAAGGGCTGATGGCTTCCCAGAGCCAGAGGGCAGGGTTAGATGGGATATTGGGAGTTAGGAATTGTTCCCTGGCAGGGTGGGCAGGCTGTGGCTGCCCTTGGATCCCTGGCAGTGCCCAAGGCCAGGCTGGACACTGGGGCTGGAGCACCTGGCACAGGGGAAGGTGTCCCTGCCATGGCAGGGGGTGAAACAGGATGAGCTTTAAGGTCCCTTGCAATCCAAGCCATTCTGGGATTCTGTGATTAAAGCAGCAGGAAATACTGCTGATGGGATTTCACCCTGCTAGTAATCCCCCTTTCTGGGGCAGCTGCAGCTAACTGGACTTGGTTACCTCAATCCAGTCTCTGCTTGGTACAGGAGATGCCATCCTCCTTTATTTATACGCCTGCATAATTAAAACCCAACTTTTAAAGTAAGTTCAATTGCAGCAAAACTACCAAATCTTGTTATTAGAAACACTGTAGCAGGATTTAAATCTCTACTTGAGCATGTACACTACGGAGCTCACTTTGAGCAGAGCCAGATGATTGGAAGCAAATAACTGCCAGTCACTGGGCAGGCCCTGGTGCTGCTGCATCATCCAGGCTGGGGCAGGAAGGGACACGCGTAGAAGGGACACGAGCACTTTTTCTGCAGACAATTCCGCAGCAGCTGGAAGGTCAGGCATGACTGAACCCCCCATTCCTAAAGGTGCAGGGGGCAGGCAGGGCACAGGCAGGGCATGGGCAGAGCACGGGCAGGGAATGGGCACAGGCAGTCCTGCTGCCCATGGGCTGAGCCCCTGCACACCCAGGCAGGCAGTTTGGGCTCAAAGCTGCACCTGCCTTTGTGGCCAAACACCAGAGGCGTCCAGCTGGGACCTGCATGGCCAGGGGTGCCCTGGGTGCCCAGGGTGGCAGGCCTTCCTCCTGCTCTGCTCCCCACAACACTCTCTACAGCTCAGGAGAAGTAATCATGGCATTACAGGTTGTCTGTGTTAGAAGGAACCTTAAAAATCATCGAGTTCCAATTCTCCTGCCCTGTCCAAGTTACTCCAAGTCCTGTCCAAGCTGACCTTGAACACTTTCAGAGATGGAGCAGCCACAACTAAGTAAAACAGATTCACCTACTGTGTGATGCTGAAACCACTTGAAACCACAAAAGAAAGCTGAAGAATCACCATACAAAAAACCCTCCTTCCTTTCCTATGCAGGTCTAACAACTGCTCTGGTGGCTCCTCTCCTGCCACTCCCATCTCACTGCCCAGGGGTACAGGCAGAGCAGGGGTGACCCCTGCACAGGGACAAGCTGCTGGGACACAGCTCCAGCAGCCAGGCAGCAGCAGGAGAAACAGCTCTGCCACACATCCACTGCAGGCACTCCAAGCTCAGCAAAAGCGGATAAATTCCTGCTGCCTTTGGGACACATCCTGACCTTCACCTTCCAGCCACTGCCAGCCCGACTCCTGCGTTCTGCTGCAGGATGAACAAGATCTCTCCTCCCTCCACAGCCCAGCCCTGGGATGACTGCAGTGCTCTCTCCGAGTCCGCAGGGTCCTGCCTCACACAGAGTGCCCTCCCGAGAGCCAGGAGCAGAGGCCATGGCGCTCAGCTTGTGCTGGCCAGCACCCCGCCCTGGTCAGCACAGGCCAGCCAGCGCTCGGCACCACACGGGCAGGATGTGGCACCGGGGGATGCATGGCCACAGAAGGAGCACTGACCCTGGGGACAGCCCCAGTGCTCGGGGGCACCCACTGCCTCCCACCCAGCACACATCAGTGTCACTGCTGACACGGCTGCGGCAGCACCGGGCTGCAGAGCTGCCTCACAGCAGGGAGAAACACCCCTCTGGTTGTTTCTGGGACCCACTAGGAGCAGAGGGAGGAAACAAGATGAAGAAAAATAATGGAGAGAGGTTAGGCTGAAAAAAAAAAACAGGTGAAAGAAGAGTCACTGCAGAGGAAGACAACTGAAATGTGAGAAGGCAGAAAGAGCTGGTCTGGGGGGCTCGAGGGACACCAACTGACCGGGCTGGGACCAGGGTGGGTTTATGGACTCTGCACAGCATTGGTGCCTGAATGCGTTTGAAAATGTGCCTCAAATTTTCCAGGATAGCCACGTAAAACTAAATAAATGACAAAAACGAAGCTCAGAACTCCTGCTCTGCACATCTCGTAGGATGGAAAAGAGAGGTGAGGCTGCTGTGCTCCCACGCAGCCCTGATCTGTCCCTCACCCAGCAGCAAACCTGCTCCTCACAGGAACACGGCCCAGCAGGACACGAAGCCCCGCACAGCCACCCCTGCCCCGCACAGCCACCCCTGCCCGGGACGGCCGCTCGAGAGCCGGGCAAGGAGTGAGCACGAGGTGCCCGGGGGCAGAGCCGCAGCCCGCGCTCGGAGATGCCCCTCCGGGCTGCGCAGAACTCGGGCAGCGCCAGGGCCCCCCGGAGCCGCCGCGGGACCCCCGGAGCCGCCGCGGGGCCCCGGCGGGACGCGGAGCGGTTCGGCAGGGGGAGCTCGGGGACACAGGGCGGCGGGGCTGCGGCCGGGCCCCGCCGCTCCCGGCCCCGCCGCTCCCGGCCCCGCTCCCGCCGCGGCCCCGGTGCCCCCGTCCCCGGCCGCACCTCTTGGAGCAGTCCAGCAGCACGCCGGTGAAGCGGCGCTCCCCGCAGCTCAGCGTCACCACCAGCGTGTCGTTCACCATCTGCTCCACCAGCACGGGCACCCACGCGCCCACCCGCGGCGGCGGCGCCCCCGCCGCGTCCCCCGCCCCGGGCTCGGCCATGCTCCCCGGGGCCGTGAGGGGCGGGGCCTGCCTGGGAAGGGCGGGGCCGAGCTGGGGGCGGGACCGGCACCTCGCGCCACCTGGCGGCCGAGCCGCGCTCCGGCACCCGCGGGGCGGGGCCGTGCCGGGGGCGGGACCAGAATGGGGGCGGGGCCTGAAGGTGAGCCTAGCCCCGCCCCCGGAGCCGCGGCCTGCTCTGGGCCTTCAGCAATGGCTGCCTCTCCAGTAGCTCCTGGACTTTCTTGTCCTGAGGAGCCCAGAGCTGGCCACGGCAGTGCGGGTGTGCCTCACTAGGGTTGAGTAGAAGGGACAGGACCACTCCCTGGCCTGCTGGCTGCGCCCTTCCCCATGCAAATACTGATCCAAATGCATCCCAATGCAAATATTACAAATAACATGTTTATTTGTACCAATGCTTTCTGAAAAGAGCCTGTGGCTTCCCAAATTGCTGACAGACTGAAGCATGCCTGATCCAATGGAATCCATAGTTTCTCTGCTGTGACTGGAGCTGAATTCTTAGTGTACCCAAAGGGCTGAGACCCAACTGTGTCAAGCAGAGACTTGCCAGAAAGGCTGATAAATGATTGCTCCCATGAGCAGCACTGTGCTTCCTTGCTTCTGTTAGTCCAAGAAGCAAAACAGCAACAAAAAAATCTCAACTTAGTTGGAGTTTGGTATAATTTTTATGGAACTCTGTTGGTTTTTCAATCGCCACATCAAGGGGGGTCCACAAGCCAAAATCCCGGGGCTGCCTCGGGAAGATGTTGAGGGTAGGACACAGGCACAGAGGGAAGTTCTGATGTCCCCAAGGACAGAGAAATCAGAACGCATTTTCAGAAGGAAAAGATGCTTTGAAGCATCCTCCCAACGCTGGCTGGCCATGGTGTTCAGGAAGGTCAGCTGGTGTCCCTGCAGAGCTCCCTGTCACTCCCTAAACCCAGAGACTCGGGGTGCACTGGGGCAGCTGGGCCCCCCTGGAATGCACAGGATAAATCCAGAGACTCCTGGGGCAGCTGGGCCCCCTTGGAATACACAGAATAAATCAGTGCCCAGCCACCAGCATGGGCACAGTGGACAGACATAGCCACTCCTTACAGACAGGAGACCTTTTCAGAGTGAACCCAGCTGGCTTTGATGGGATGTCCCTTTTCATTTTCCCCTCCTGCTTTCTTCATTCCCACGTGCTGTTTGATGTGCTGTTCCAGTCTGTTTTCTCTGAGGGATCTAACTAAACATGGTAAAATTATTATTTCAGTTGCTTTGCTTAATATACTAACTTTCAGTGCACATCAGACCTGTCTGGCCACAGCTGTGGGGTCTGGAACCACCTGTCATTATGAGATAGATAATGGTGTGCATTTTCCCTTAAAGCTGATGGAAGTTCCTTCCCCTCCATTTGCAGGCCCCTGTTCAGTGGTTGTTCTGAGAGGATCAGCTGGAACACCCCTGTACAGTTAGGCAAGACAGAGCCTCAGTGCAGACACACTGATTTTCAGAAGTGCAGAATGGAGCAAACCGACGCATCCCGTCTTCAGGGGAGCCGGCAGGCCATGCGCAGCTTTCCCCTTCACAGCTGGCTCCAGAAGGGCCGGGGCTGTGTCTCCAGCCGGGAGGCAGCAGGGCCCTGCATGCCCCAGGGCCGCTTGGCACTGCCCTGAGCCCTGCTGCCCGCTCGGAGGGCACTCAGGGGAGGCAGCAGGGCCCTGCGTGCCCCAGGGCCTCCTGGCACTGCTCCGAGCCCTGCTGCCCGCTCGGAGGGCACTCAGGGGAGGCAGCAGGCGTGCCCCAGGGCCGCCTGGCGCTGCTCCGAGCCCTGCTGCCCGGTCAGAGGGCACTCAGGGGAGGCAGCAGGGCCCTGCGTGCCCCAGGGCCTCCTGGCACTGCTCCGAGCCCTGCTGCCCGCTCGGAGGGCACTCAGGGGAGGCAGCAGGGCCCTGCGTGCCCCAGGGCCGCCTGGCCCTGCCCTGAGCCCTCGGTCAGAGGGCACTCAGGGGAGGCAGCAGGTGTGCCCCAGGGCCGCCTGGCGCTGCCCTGAGCCCTGCTGCCGGCTCGGAGGGCACTCAGGGGAGGCAGCAGCCGTGCCCCAGGGCCGCCTGGCGCTGCCCTGAGCCCTGCTGCCGGCTCGGAGGGCACTCAGGGGAGGCAGCAGGGCCCTGCGTGCCCCAGGGCCGCCTGGCGCTGCCCTGAGCCCTGCTGCCCGCTCGGAGGGCACTCAGGTATCCATGAGCTCAGTTCTGCTGGCTGCTGACTCAGGAGCCCCGTGGGTCACGGTGGCAGTGCCAGGGCAAGCCCCACCTCCACCCTCCTCACATTCCCAGACTGCTGCTCCTTGGCACTCTGCTGCCAAGCTAGGCCCTTCCCTCAGCACTTTCCAAATTAAGCAACAAAAAAAATTGCCTTTGTTCCGCCTGGTTGAATGCCTTTAAACCTCAAAAATATTTTGTGAAGCAAATGATTTTCTAGACAAATCACCTTACCCGTGCTTCAGGTTAATAAATCCCAAGGTTTTCCACCAAGAGGAATTATTGTTGTAGATTAGAATCATTTTATAGGCACTTCATTTCTGGCTGTGCCAAGCTCCCCTCTGTGCTGCTTACGGGACACCTGCCAAGTCTATTTTAGCTGCAGTGCCTGTGCTGCTGCAGCCACTCGGCTCCAGAGCGAGAATCCCGTGGAACAAACCCATTTCCAGAACTCTCCTCATGGCACTGTCCCCAGGGTGGTGGGGCTCACACCCCTCTGACACCACGGGGAAAGCCAAGGTGTGCCATGGCACCGCGGGTACCCACCTGCCCTGCCTTCAGCACAGAAACAGGGCTCTAAGTCCAGGACAACCCCTCCATTTTTCTGAAATATGTTCTAAGATGTACCAAGTAAGTGCAGCTGCCTCGTGGTGTTTCCCACTGTTCCAACAAGTATTTGAAAACTGAAATTTTTGGGCTTGAATAAAGGAATATTCTCTGTCATGCCTGAGGAATATGAAAACTGCTTCTAACACATGATAAGAGAGCAAAGAAATACAGTTAGCATGAGAGCAAAAATAAAACATAGAGCATGGGAATTCGCTGCAAAGTTCTCACTAATGTTGTTGTCAGGCATTAAAGAGCCCTAACCCAGTGTGCGAGGGGACAGCGCTGTCCGGCTGCGTGCCCAGGACAGCAGCCGGTCCGGTGCTCCCAGTGCCCCCAGTGCTCCCGGCACTCCCAGTGCTCCCGGCACTCCCAGTGCTCCCGGCACTCCCTGTGCTCCCAGTGCCCCCAGTGCTCCCAGTGCCCCCAGTGCCCCCAGTGCCCCCAGTGCTCCCAGTGCCCCCAGTGCCCCCGGTGCTCCCAGTGCCCCCAGTGCTTCCAGCGCTCCCAGTGCGGCCGGCGATCCTGCCGGGGAACGCCAGAGGACAGCATTGCCCTGCGCTGGGAACCGCCGAGAGCGGCACTGCTGCGGGACCACCGAGAGACACCGAGAGCACCGAGAGACACCGAGAGCACCGAGAGACTACCGAGAGACACCGAGAGACACCGAGAGCACCGAGAGACCACCGAGAGCACCAAGAGCCGGCAGTGCCGCAGCCGCACCGAGAGCCCCCGCTGCTCCCAGCGCACGGCCCCGGTCCCGCAGGCTGCCGGGGGCGCTCCGGGAGCCCGGGGAAGGGTGCACGTTCCTCCACCTCGCAGAAAGGAGGACTAATGAGGCCGCTGAACCTGGGGGGGAAGAGCAGCACGACGGTGCCGAGAGAAAACTTTCAGATGTGAAAATACAGAACAGGATTCACAAGATGCAGAATTACAGGCATGACTCAATTCCCTCCAAAATGTTAGTGAATATTATGGGGGGAAAAAACCCCCATTGCCAGTGTGGCAATGAATGGCCAAATAATAGAATTAGGAACAGCTCCAGTGGGTTTATTCTCCCCTCCACACAAACAGCTACTTCCCTGTTTCAGAAAGGATTCACCAACACATTCCCTCCAATAGGGTTTGTATTGTGCATATTGCAAAATGTGACACATAAAACATTCATAAAGTGCTTTCTATGCCAACGTAAAGGAACATAACATCTGGTCTTGTATTTATCTATTGTAATTTATCATATTGCATGTACTAGAAATGAAAAAAATAAGTTACCTGTAGGATTTTACAGTCCACCATATTCAGTATTATAAAATCCTGTTGGTTTTCAGTAGAAGGAATCTGGATATTCAAGGGTACAATTACCAATATAGGAATACAAAAACTAACAACTGAGAAAATAAAAAAAATATTGATAGTACTTTTAATTCTGGAGGAAAAAAAATAGTTTCAGTAATAGAAAATAGAAAAGTTGGTTTGTATCCTGCAGGCACAGAGTTTGTGGTCACTGGGATGGGGCTGTGGCCCACCTCATCCCCAGTGGGTGCAGCTGTGCAGGACAGGCGAGCAGCAGTGCCAGCAGGGAGCCAGGCAGTGCCCAGGTGTGCTGAGCAACCCCCAGGGCACAGAGGGCACACAGGGCACAGAGGGCACCCAGGGCACAGAGGGCACACAGGGCACAGAGGGCACACAGGGCACAGAAGGCACCCAGGGAGCAGAGGGCACAGAGGGCACACAGGGCACAGGGGGCACCCAGGGCAGTGTGTGAACACCAGGGATAAAAGACTGGGTGCAGAACAGGAAAGGCAGATGCCTGGAGCCTCCTGCCATGTCTGTGTCACTGTGCACGGGGTGCAGCTCTGAAATGGTGTGGTGACACTCGGTGTGTTGTGGCCATCTCAGCTGTGACATGTGCTATGACAGTATTCTATCCACATATGTCAAAATACCATTCATTCATCAAATACAGATTTGATAATGATGTAGATAAAACTGCTTTTATATTTTTGAGTGGAAAAGCAGAGTTTTCCAGCATGGTCCTGGTTACACAGAGGCTTGGTCACCTGCCCACAGGAGCTGCCTTGGTGCAGAGCAGTTCTTCCCCGTTCCAGTAAAATCCTGGGCTGCACCTACACGTTTGTCAGCAAGAAATTCTTCTGTTA